CACTTTATCACTAGGTCGCCGTGGCTTTGCTTACAGGAATTCGCTCTGGTCTTAAAACCTACGGAAAGTTGCTTAACTTTCAAATACAATATTCGGGCGTTTTTCATGTCGGCCAGCATATCAAACTCTTCACACTTACGTTAATATTTCAGTTAGTAACTTCTTCTTTTAAATCTACCAAATGAAAGATAATCTTGAAAATATTCGAATTAACCCATTCTTCACCATGCTATGTATTCCATGCACCATGCCTTTATTTTAGAACCCGAATTTTCGTAATTCGTAATTCGTAGCTACGTTACAAAAGACGAAAAATCAACATGCTGGAAACTTTGCGGAAAGCAGCTATCAGTTGTTATTCGAAGATAGCTGTATGAAGGAAAACAAAGTGGAAAGAAATTAAAAACTCTTATTTATGGTAAAATTGTTTGATTTTACATACTTTGAAGAAAACGATGGATTGTATTGCATTTGCAATCATAGCAGCAGAGTTAGAGCGCGCTATGGAAATAATTCACAAAGATATGCGGAGCTGTTGGGCATAGTAACCATCGACGCATCTATGTAAGCTGTCGAAATTATTAATAAACTGTTGCTTGGAAATTTTAAACATTTATTTCAAATTAAAGTTTAATCCATTGATTGCACGTGCGTTTTAAAGTTTTTAGATTCGAGTTATGCGTTTGGACACAACAACTGAAAATCATTGTACAAATAACTAAACCGGACCCAAGTTTCTCGATTAGGGGCAACAAACATTTCTTTTTGTTCGTTCATATAAAGCAGTGGATAAACCTATACGTGCATATACAAGAAAGGCAAATTTGTCTGTTTAAAAGAGCACCATTAATATTTCCTGCAAACACACATCGTTTTACACCTTTTATCTCACTTCCGGCACAGAATAGTTTTCGTAAAAAATTACGCAAAAAAGCTGTTAATTTCTTACTCGTTCGTTTTTAGGCATACCATTGTTACGAATTTCGAAAGTTCGAAAAGAAAATACGATTCGGATAGCAGCATACCATTCCTACGATTCGTAACAAAATCCGAATACGAAAGAGTTGCAGAATAGGGGTGTATATGAAACACATACATACATATGTAGCTAGTATTTAGTAGCCTATTAGAACAATTTATGTGTTACCAATTTTACCACTTACATACACTTACATACATATGAATGTAGTACTTACGTAAGTGCTTGATATAAAACGGATATTTAGTATGTATAGAAACTACAAACAATTTGATAGTTAAATTAAAACTGCATCGTGAAAGACTCCGCCCATACAATCTCGAATAATTTAAAAGCGCCCAAGCATCATAGCATTTTTATGCGTGCTCTGTGGCGTTAATTAAAATGAACTGCAATTTTCAATGAAACATGAAACCGCAGCGAATACAAATTAAAGTTGTTGGTATACAATATGCGTTTTAGATTAGAGCACAAAAATTAATGCAAATAATTGGTAATGAAATCTACATACATACATACATATGTACATACAACGCTGAGGGAAGTGGAAATGTGTCAAGCGAATTGAAAACAGGCATATATTTATTTCTACGGAACGGTGATTGTTATTGCATTTGATACTCTTAAGCCAACTGCCTACTCGAATCAATAATTCGAAGCGGAAAATATCTACAATTAAATATCTATAGACTATATAGACTGTTAATACTGATTTAGCGTACCTCTAAAGCTATCTAGACATTGGTAAAGTGATATTAATTGCGCAGAATATAAACAACTAAACAAACATATGTACATGTAGTCATGTTTTACACAACGCGTCTATTTTCGTGGCAAAGCGCTTTTACTGTTTAACAATTTTGTCTAACGTAGTTGGCGTTGGAGATGACGTAAAAATGAAATGTAATATCACTGCTGAAGAAAACAGGTGTACAAAAAAACCTTATTCGCGAGAAAAGCGTAACCGAATTTCAACCTCAATGGATAGAATGAAATTTGAATTTGAATGAAAGATCAGTTTTAAAGCAATATTTGCACGATGCTCCATTTGCAATGCCAGTAGCATGACTGTCTAGTGAGGGAGATCAGCGCTGCACTGGAATGAAGTCTCGTCTACATTATTATAAGAGAGAGAGAAAGGAAACTGCAGTGGTCATTATTTGCAGATAAACGCAATAAAAATTCTTTAAACAGATCCATTTTTAGCGTTTCATAAATTTTGTGGAAGAAACTAAAATATGACCAAATCTGAATTCATGTAATTTCCAATTGATTTTAACCGACTTTACCAAAAGGAAAAAGTTATCAATTCGTCGGAATATTTTTACCACATAACTTTGGACCACGTTAACCGATTTCCATAATTGTTATTATTATTTTCAAAGGAAAGGTGTTACCTTGTAGGTGGCCCCATACTAATTTGGTTTAAATCCGATCATTAGATCATGAAGAAATTAACGATAATCTTAAATTTGTATAAGAGAATTGAAGTCGGTTTTGTTTCTTGCTTAAAAATCACTTGTTTTTAATTTAAATAAATATATGCATAGGTGTGTTTGTGCGAAAATATAATATTTTATTTTTTTTTTGTAATTTTAAAGTTTTTTTCACACATCACATCACGGTAGGAGCTTTTATCTGGAGTCAGTACATGCAAGTGAATGCTTAGCTACTGACATAAAATGCTAAGAAATTTAATTTTCTCTTTCATCGCCCTATGTATTATAATCTAAAATGATCTTAAATTGACCCATTAACCTCCTCTGTTACTCTCATTCAATAAGCTTAATTTTCCATATGCAGACTTCTACAGCGCTTACTCATCCACCAATCACTAATCATCTACAAAATCGTGGAAAATTAATAAATGACAAAACAAATGCTTTCAGGCTATTTTTTGCATAATCTTCAAATCTCATTTATTCCTGTTCGCAACAGCTAGCTTCAGCACATTTTATACAATATGTATATTGTATGCTATTTTCATCACCAGTTATGGAAAAGGCTCTATTTTCGCAGCACAGCAACGGCGGGCGCGGCAGCGGCAACAACTGGAGCGGCGGCATAAGCAGCTGGGTAGGCGGCAGAGTGGGCAATCGAATGAGCCGAATAGCTGCTGGCATAGGGAGCAATGTAGGGCGCATAACCGGCGGTGTAGGCTACTGGAGCAGCATAGGCGGCGGCAGCAACTGGGGCGGTGTAGGCAAGGGCAGCTGGGGCAGCCAACAGGGCAGGCTTAGCAGCAGCGAAAGCGACAGCGAAGAGAGCCAGGAAGCAGACAGTGAACTGGGGAAATGGAGAGGAATAAAATTAAAATTATTTCAAAAGTTTCTCAATTAAAGTCTCATTAATTAACCTTACCAATTTGAACATTTTGAAAATTTTCTTTTTTCTTAAGATAAACACTTCTTAACAACTGAAGACGATTGCGAATTGTGTTGCCAGTTGTCAATAAACTCCCTTCTTTTATACCGCACGCAGTAAGTATGAGCGTACACATATGTACAGTGGTGCTAAAATGAACCTTCAATTTGCTAAAAACAAACACCACTTATTCGATGTTTAGACACGGAAACTTTTGTTGCGGCAACTCGAAGCTTGCAGGGGAGAGAGCGACGTTGAAAGGGGACGGTACCGAGTCGCTCGTACTCGGGCAACACGCTTTGTGCTCTCGTTCGTCTGCGTTATTAAAGTTGGCGGTTCACAGCTGACAACAATAATTGCATACAAATCAGTTGCTGTGTATGAATGCAAAGGGCAATACCAAAAGGGAAATTGCCGATAATAAGCAACTCGAGTTAGCGTGTCTGAACGCAGACTTAGCAAACTTTGATGAGTCACCGTTTGCTACCGACAATGATTTTTAAATAGTTGAATACCTATATATTTTTGTTGTTAATATTTATTGTTATGTTATTTGGTTTTATTTGCGACTAGCGTACTTCTTCGCATGCACTAAGGTCGCACGCATACCGATAGGCTAGCCTTTCTTCGCCTTGAATAAATTAAATACAATTGCAAATTGTTAGAAATTTTGAAATTCAAATAAATTATTTTTTAGAGCACAAGTCAGGAAGTTTATTTTAATTTTCATCATCACTTTTTGGCTTCACTAGAGATGGCGACCATAAATATCTACGTTAGTGTTAGCCTAGAGGACGAATTTATACTGGCCTTAGGTAAGGCCAGCGGGACCAAAACACTTTGCCGATACGCCCGATAAAACCCAAAACCTCCGCAAATTCAGAAAATGTTCCTTAAATATATTTTATAAAATAAGCGCTTGAATTAATCTTAGTAATAGATTTTGGGTCCCACGGTGCCCGCGCACAGTGGTTGCGTTTATATGGGGAGAGCGGCCAAAAATACTTTTAATGGACATATCGGGATACAATTTTTGTCGTGCGGTCTATTAAGAGTAAAAACTGTAATATGTAAAAGTGGGCGGGGCTGGAGACGCCCACATACAGTCATGTGAATAATAATAGGGACACGATAGCTTCATCTATTTTTCTTTTGTTTGCTTAATTTTTTATAATTTTGTTTTTTTATAAAAAATACAGCTCACTATCTAACAAAAACCGTATAAGTCCATATTTCAAACTTTGTTTAAAAATTAGAAGAATTCAACAAAATTTTACAACAACAACAAACTTTTTACTAAGCAGTTATGTAGTTATATCGCCCATTCAGATCTAGCTTAAGAGTTGCAAGTGGCTAAGAATTCGCGTTGATTTTTTTCATAATTTTTTCCCGATGGTATTATTATTTTCTTCAAAACAAAAATTTGGAACATACTTTGTATGGAAGAAAATTCGTGAACAAAAAAATTGCCAAAAATCTAACATAAGTCCTAGCTACTTCAAACTTGCACTTTATTATACTAAAATACTTTATTATACTTCTGTCTAGAAACATTTTGAATTAGAAAATTAGATAGGCCAAAAAATAAACATGAAAACAACTGTAGAAAATAAAGAGCTTGGATTACGGCGGCAGGCGGTTGCATCTACACTGAACACTTTTATAATTTTAAAATACCAGCCAACAATATATAAAGGAAAATATTGAGGTCCGATAGGGGAAACACACGTAAAACATTACCTAAATACTTGAAAGACGAACCAAGAAAACACAAAAACTACTTTGTAAAGCCTTGATTTATAAAAAACTCATCACGAATTATCTAAAAGTTTAATTGTAGAAATAGTCAATACCTTTATATGCAATATCCATTACATACAATTTAATACATTACATACAATTTAAATTTTCACAATATTTTGTTTCCTTTTTTCAGAAACCACCGTTACAATGGAAACAAAAAATATATGACAACATGTAGTTTGGACCAAAGACTTATTGCAAAGTCTATTTCGGTTTAAAAATTTTTATATATTTTTTTTTAATTTTGGCCTATGTCAGCAACCACTGTGCCGCGGTACAATTCTAAAAAACGTCGAGATGGGCGGGATCGGGATTGAATTTTTCGTGCCGTGGCCTTCTCTAATCTAGTACATAATTTATATGCTATTTTTTATTTTAAACCAAAACCACTAAAGAACGAAGAAATATTATTTTTTCATGAAATAACTTTTTTTGATAAAAACTGCATAATTAATGGTAACAAAATTTATATTATTTAAAAAGTGCAAGTTATTATCTTTAATTCGATATACCTATTTTATCATGATCTACTTTCGGTTTTCAATAATTAAGTGATAATAAAAAATATAAATAAACAAAGCAAATAAACCGCTTATATTTTTACCTGCACTAAATAAATTTGTTATCGTTGAAATCAGCGGAAAAAGGTCTGTCAATCGGCATTTTTGGTTATTTTACAGCTAAACGGTCGCTATTCTAGACTTCTTCCAGAAAATAATGCAAACGAAGGTGATGCCAACGAATATTTAGTACGAAGAATTTTTGGTTTTCCTACTATTTAATAAAACTAGAAACTGTAGACTGAGCAACAACATTCTGCACAAGTAAAGGAGCTGATTTTATGTGTGGGAGCGAGAAGAGTGTTTCATTACAAAACCTTTATATTATTGAATCATAATCGAATATCTTGAATCCTCCTGAGTGAATACACTGAGGTTTCCGGCAATGCAAGAAAAAACTAGCTCTTTCCTTCAAAGCTAACTGTGTGGAATTATCAACCTGTAAAACTTAGTTTGAATAAAGAAACAAATGACTTTACTTGTTCCTCGGATGCACAATTTCTACGATCGTAATTTAACCAAATAGGTATCTGAGGTGTAATATTTGATTTATTTCAACCTTAATAACTTCAGCTTAGTGTTGCATGGTCTTGTTCCAATCAATGCATTGATTATATTATGGCCGCTGTGGTGTAGTTATTTGAAGTGCTCGCTACCATTCCGCAGGACCTGCGATTGAGCTCATTTTTCGACTAACATACAAAAAAACATAACTAGTTTTTTTCTAATACCGGTCGACCTTCGGCAAACAATGGCAAACCTTCAAGCATTTCTGCCATGAAAATCAGCTTCACAACAATCGCCGTTCGGAGTCGGCGCACGCCACAAATGGGAGGAAAAGCTTGGTCAAACACTAGCATATGGTGTAATGGTCAATCTCTTATTTTTATTATTAACCAAAGAAGAAGAAAAAAATAAAACAACACGAAATTTCGACTTCTATAGACACGTAAATAGTTGAGGTTTATTTTAAGTATTTCTGTTCATGAGTTCATCAGCGATATGTTCATTTTTTCAGCACTGCAACAGCGGGCGCAGGAGCAGCAACAAATGGTGCAGCAGCGACAACTGGAGCGGCAGCATAGGCAGCTGGGAAGGCAGCGGAGTGAGCAATTGAATGAGCTGAGTAGCTGCTGGCGTAAGGAGCAATGTAGGGTGCATAACCGGCGGTGTAGGCAGCGGCAACAGGGGCAGCATACGCGGCAGAAACTGGGGCGGTGTATGCAAGAGCAGCTGGGGCAGCCAAGAGACCGGGCTTAGCAGCAGCGAAGGCAACAGCGAAGATAGCAAGGAAGCAGGCAGCGAACTGTGGGATTATTTAGAAAAAAAATTTTATTAAATATATATACACGTGATTAATTTAAATGAAATAAGGCTGGTTGAACTCACCAATTTGAACATTTTGAACGTTTTTAGTTTTTTGCTGAAGATAGGACTTCTTAACAATTGAAATGGTTTGTGAATTGTGATGTCAGTTGTGAAGACATTCCGTATTTTTATAC